AACCTCCGGGTGAAGTTCATCAAGCTCCACACGTTGGGCGACAACCTGCTCGACTCCCGTGACGAGGTGACGGAGAAGTACTACTACGCCCTCTACGACATGGTCGTCCGCGGAAACTGCTTCTGCTACGGTCACGCCTCCGAATGCGCCCCGATGGACGGAGCGCCGACGGGAGCTGAGGGAATGGTACGACAAACACACACCCACAGGCCGCTGACACAAGACTGTAATGTAGTTTTTAATGTTGTTATTTCTTATTTTATTGTTAACGTCTGAAAACCAGTCTGCAGCTTTCAGTTGCATCACACGGGATCCCTCAGCAGACGACATGTCCATCATTTCATTGGTGATATTTACATTTTAATATGTTTTGAGTCCTAAATTTGAATATGTACAATTTCACAAGACCTGAGTAACACCACCTGCTGTTGAAGATCGTGTGAAATGACTGAAAGCTCCAGAACCTTTAATTGGAGCTTTTGAGTCTGTTTTGAAAACCAGGTGATATTTTTATCAGACCTGATGTTTTTAGGATGTTTTCTAACGACGAATAAATACTTTAAAATACTTTGGTGTGTGTGTGTGTGTGTAGGTCCACGGCCGCTGTGTGTGTAACCACAACACCGAGGGATTGAACTGTGAACGCTGCACAGACTTTTACAACGACCTACCGTGGAGACCTGCGGAGGGACGAAACACACACGCCTGCAAGAGTAAGACAACCGACATCACTCAGACTCTCGCCTGTTAAAAGTTTGACGAACATGTTGTTCAGTTTGATCGGTGGCTGATTGGAGGACTGATGTGAGTCTCTCACTCCCTCCGTCTCAGGGTGTGAGTGCAACCGTCACTCCACCTCGTGCCACTTCGACCTGGCCGTGTACATGACGACCGGCAACACGAGCGGAGGCGTGTGCGACGACTGCCGACACAACACGGTCGGCCGACAGTGTGAGCAGTGCGCGCCCTTCTTCTACCAGCACCCCGAGAGAGACCTGAGGGACCCCAGCGTCTGTGAACGTACGTCCCCTCGTCCTGACCTCTGACCTCCTCCTGTCTTCTCATTACGCCCAGTTAAAAGTTAGTGCCTCCATGGTTCCTCCGACGAGCAGCACCTGGAGCCGCAACCGTCTCCGTGTTTGAAGTGAGGAGCAGAAAGTAGCTGCTGTGACAACATGATTGTAGCGACGTGCTAAATACCGGGTTCAAGTGGAAATGGTGCTTTAAAAATGAAACATGGCCTCCCCCTCTCTTTACCTCCTTCATTCTTCCCTCTGTTCAAAGCTCCTCTTTTAAATGACACTCTGTTCTGTGCTGCTCTTTTTCTTTCTCACAGAAAAATTTATTTCTTTAGCACTGATTCAAACGAGGTGATTATGTTTTACATGATATTTAAAACACAGAACAACATAAGAAAGATAAGTTGAAGGGAAATATTTAAAACAATCAGCCGTAAATCAGGCAGCAAAACGCTGATGTTCATTTTAATGATTTAAAAACAGATGGGCTGATGGGAAGTCACCCATGTGTCTGTATCTGTTCACGCTGACGTCATGTGTGTTGTGTGTCCTCAGCGTGTAACTGCGACCCGGCCGGGTCTCTGGAGGGCGGACTGTGTGACCCGCGGACCGACGTGGCAGCCCGGCTGATCTCAGGCCAGTGTCGGTGCAAGGCCCACGTGGAGGGCGAGCGCTGCGACCACTGCAGACAGGGACACTACGGGCTGGGACAGGGGCCTCACGGCTGCCTGGGTGAGTCACAGTTACTTACATCACACGTGAGGGTTTTATTACTCTTCTTCATGGTTTCGTATCTTCGATCATATGATGATTCATTTATGTTTTATTTATTCCAGCTTCTAATTAAACGCTTAATTTGAAAAACCCTGATTAACAGGCTATGTAAAGTGTAAAGCATGACTTAACTTGAATATGCATTATCACAAGATACTTGATTTAATTTCATCAGTGTGATTAAAGTGCTCGTTGCCCAGGTGAACATGCTACACGCTACATGCTACAGGATGAACTGACGCAGTCTCTGTCTCCTTTGTGTGTGTCGGCAGCTTGTGTGTGTAACCTGCTGGGCACTCTGCCGGGAGGAAACCCCTGTGATTCAGACTCAGGAAAGTGTTTCTGCAAACGCCTCGTGGACGGACACAACTGTGACCAGTGTCTGGTACGGATCCAAACTGTCAGCGCGACTCCGGATACTGTCTCAGTGTGTGTGTGTGTTTGAAATGTTTCCTCTGTGTTCCTTTGTCTCCAGCCTCAGCACTGGGGTCTGTCCAACGACATGGACGGCTGCAGACCGTGTGACTGTGACCAGGGCGGGGCTGTTGACAATAAGTACGTTTAATGAGTAGAAATATAACAATTATAATCTTTGGTCCTGAATGAAAGGAAACGTTTCAGGAGACACTTGTGTTTCCCTGTCCACAGCTGTGACCCTCACTCAGGACAGTGCGTGTGCAGGGAGCACATGTTCGGACGTCGCTGTGATCAGGTCGAGTCCGGCTTCTACTTCATCACTCTCGATCACTACACCTACGAGGCCGAGGACGCCCAACACGGACCCGTGAGTGTGTCTTAACGAGCCGTCCGTCTAGTGGTGGGGTGTTGTTGGCCAGATGTGCAAATTACATCTGTCTCTGTGCCTCAGGGTGTGACGGTGGTCCAGAGACCTTATCCTCTGGACCGTAGTCCCACGTGGACCGGTATGGGATTTGTTAACGTGCCAGAAGGAGCCTACTTAGAGTTCAACATCAACAACATCCCAGAGTCCATGGACTACGACGTCCTGATCCGCTATGAACCACAGGTAACACACACTCTGACGCAACATCTCAGTGTCACACAAGATAAAAGAACATCAGAACAAAATGATGCTCTCATCTCTGCAGGGAAAGGTCCGATTTCAAAATATGATATTACAAAAGTTTAAAAAGTTTCAATCATCATTCTGTCTGAAGAGTGAAAACACGATGGTAAGTTACAGTTTGAAGAGTGTGTGTGTGTGTGTGTGTGTGTGTTGTCAGCTGCCAGAGCAGTGGGAGCAGGTGAACATCAGAGTCCAGCGTCCCGTCTTCAACCCTCCGAACTACATCAGTCAATGTGGTAACTACATCCAGGCTGGAGACGAACAGGCCATCTCTCTCCCACCTGGATCCAGGTGAGACGACGTCACAGTCTGCGTGTGTGTGTGTGTGTGTGTGTGTGTGTCTGCCGTCGTTCACAACACGTAAACAACACGCT